GTGTTCGGGGGGGGGGGGGGGGGGTGTGGGGTGTGGAATTCGGAGAATTATAATACATTAACTGGTACGCAACTCCCAGTAGAGCAACCAATTAACATTCAACAAGTGTGCAGCTCCCAGGACCCAATTTTATTTTACAAGTCTGTGCTTCCCATTCTACACCTTCGTTCCACATTCTCCTTGAATCCAACTGAATACAGAATACGTGAGGAGAAAAAGTTTTGAAACAGGAAGGAACAAGCATGCATTTGAATTATCGCAAATCTGAAGCAGCATGGCAGGCAACTAGCAGCAGAGTCGTTTTCTGACTTCCTTGCATGCCAATAAACTGCATTTGCCATTTCCGATGCTTTCAACCGATGCATTCAAATAAGATAGTGGAAGTGCAGCATGAAGATGTTGATGCTAGCTACAATAACAGAGCCAGTGAAGCCAGTCCCTTGTGCATTGATCCAGGCCATAATGGTCCAAGAGGGTCACCGACAAAGAACTGAATTTCTAGGTGTACAACATTTACCGTTCCAGCTAGTTCATCTAGCTCGTCCAATCCAACATGCTGCGAGTCAGCTCCATGTTGACTAGCTCGATGTGTGTTTTGTGTTGTTTAAGGGTGTATTTGATTTTTTAATCTGTTTTTTTAAGTACTTCTCAAATTACTCGTTGCTTATAAAAAAAAATATGAAATTAATGATTTTTACATGTTTTTAGATAATTCTGATGTGATAACAAAAAAAAAAACTTTTAATTGAAAATTACTTCTACAAAACACTCCATATTGTATTACCGAAAGCACAAATCATCGAACTGAAGTTTGAGCATTACCGAAAATGGCTCTCGAATTAAAATTTTTTTTACTGGAGTAACTGTTACTATTTTTTAATAGTTTTTATCACACGTGATCTTCTAAGAACAAGACATATATCGAAAAAAACATTAACCGAGAGAAAAAACCTAGACGAAGAGGCCTATTTCTTTTAATTTAAAAAATAGTTCCACTTACTTAAATCGAAGAAATTAAAATTCAGAAACGAAATTAAATTTGACTCAAAATACATGATAGTTTTATTTAATTTAGCTTCATGGGTCTAAGGGGAGATGGGGTTTTGAGGCTGGTGTGGTAATATTATGGGCTGGGCTGGGATGCATTGGCATTTTTTCAGTTATTTGTCTTAATGGATATAAAATGTTCATTACTTACATGTCCTGTAGACGTCTGCTACCATTCATCTCCTCAACAAATGTTCCATTTTTGTTTAAGAAAGCTTGTGTTGGTTTTTTTTTTTTTTCCTTTTCTTCCTTTAAGAAGCTAGAAGCAGTGTTGTTTTCCCACTCATGGTGGCATGATAGTATTCGTTTTTGCGACACCAACTCTCTCAAAGGAAGCAATATCCATTGCACAATTTGCACTTTTCACCAAGCTTGTACGTAAATTTCATATTGAATTCACGTAGGGGATTACAAATTAAGTTCATGATGGAATGATGCTGGGCAGTGTCCATCTAGGATGAAGATCCTATAGAATTAAACTGGTAAATTTAGAAAAATGAAGGTTGAAAACAAAAGTCATGTATGCATTGCTTTTGATCACGATAGTGCAAATTAAGCCATATGTAATTATGAACATGGTTCCATAAGTTAATGGAAAATCTAGATTATGTTGGGTTTCTGTCGGTTTACCACCATGCATGTCTTCGTACAGATTCTTGGGATTTATTTTAATTAAGACTTGTACAAATTACAATTATCATGGATATATAGCACATGATTGATGATTAATTAAATTAATGTTCTTGTGATTCTTTTTACTACAAGGTTCTATAAAGTTTGATGTAGGGCATAGGAAGAAATTAAGAAGGAGAAAACTTTGATTTTAATTATAAATTTTGGAAATCAATAATGTTTTACACAAATTTTTTAAATAGCAGTTAAAATCGATCTAATTAATAAAATATATAATCCAATTTAATGATAGAAAAAAATTAAATTTATTTTTATTAAAAAGACTCATATTACTCATCTAAACTTTTTCTTGAACTTATATTATATAATAAATTCGAGTCAAGGTTCTATTTTAATATGGTGATCACACATGAACTGTTATTATATTTTTAGCTATGCATTAAATAGGTTATTTATAGTAAGGTTGTATTTGATCTAGCTATAGCGAAAAGGTTAAAGCATCAAGATTTTTTAATGATATGTGAATAGTATAAAGATGTTAAGAAGTGAATTATTTAATAAAAAATGAAAAAAAAACATTATGGATAATAATGAAGTCAAAATTTAATAATTAGATCAATAAATAATATTAATAAATATAACATTTTAAAATGGATGGATTAAGAATTTAAAATATAATAAAGAGTAATCTAAGAATAAATGATGGAAATAAGAAAATGAAATCTCAAATATAACATAAATTAAAACACAAATGATTCCCACAACATTTGAAGTGATCATATCGATTTCATTATTGGAAAGAGGCATAGTCTCAAGGATCAATCATATAGGATAAAGAAATCCCAATAGAAATCACCTTCTTTAAGCTCGAGAGATTTTGCTCATTCCCTAGCATTTTATTATTAAAACCATTACCTACGTGCAAGACCCCGTCAATAAGCAGCACAAACACAAGATGATAATATTTGAGTACTTGTCAAGGCAGTGCATCTCCAAACCCACCACTAATTCCTCCACCGTATCCACCACCGTATCCACCACCTTTCCCACCACCATGAAGATCACCGCCCCCACCATCCAGCTCCACCACCAAAACCAGCTCCACCACCAAAACCAGATCCAGATCCAAAGTCATAACCAGGGAGATAATTAGAGTTGGATGTCTTTTCCCCATGAAGCGCACCCATCTTGCTCATTGCTAGCTTCCTAGCATCTGTGACAAGAACAAGTGCAAAAAGCAAAGACAAAATAAGCCTTGTAGCCATCATTAGGAGAAATACCTTAACTAGCTTGAGATGATGTTTTCTTATGCAATGACCAAACCAGTAGAGAATTTATATATATATAGTAGAACTTTGAGATAATTAGTTGATGAAATTAAGGGTGTAGTTGAGAATTAATGTTGCAGATTCTACACATCCAATCATTTATGCGCCGAGCTTATAAAGTTAATAGAGCCATCTGCCTTCAGTGAAAAACTGCCCCCACACTATACCACCCCTCCATATCAATCCTTGATTGATTACCCTAGCTTTCAATAGAATTCACCACTAACATTCATCCATTCATTCCTTTCTTTCTTTCTTTTTATAAAGGTACGATAAAAGTATTTGATAGCTATTTAGTAAATGACTAAACAACTGATAGTTTGAGTTATTACAGAAGAAAAAAAAATACATATATTTTTATGTTCTTAACTACCTTGACGTCTTAATATTGTTAGACCACAAACTGATATAAACTGAACTTATCTCTAAATCATAATGTGAATAAGTGAAATGCTTCTCGTTAGCCTGCAATCAAGTCGAACCAAAGTTATAGAAAAACATATTTCCACATTAGATTGAACATTATTAAAAACCAAGTAATTTCTAGCCAGCCAAATATTCCAAGCAATGCCCAGAAGATAGGAGTTGCCATGTATTCTTATGAAATTCTCCAAAATCCATGTGAGGCCATTCAAATGGTAAGTTATCTAGTAATTTAGGGGCACACCAAGAGACACCCCACATTTATTTATTTCTGATGGCAAGATATTTTCGAGTCATGTTTTTCTGTCCATCAAGATTAATTTTCAAATTTTAAGTTTTGATCACAGCATGTTCGTTCATATTGATGCATTCTGCAGAATTTGTTTAATAAAAACATTCCCTTAAGTATCGTTTTGAAGATAATAATATTAAGAGAATTCATTTACATCCGGAATATTGATCATGCCTCCCTGCCCCATGCATGAGCTAAAACAATTTAACTTTGTCGACCATGCAACTCTTCTAGTATATTTGGTGGCTGCAACTAATCAAGGGCAAAAATGCTTTCAAATTTTAAATTAATTATAATAAGAATTGAACTCATAGCTATTTTATAATTATAATTCTAATATAACGTAAGAGAATCATCTTAACATGGAATTTATGTTAAATTATCAGCAAATCTTCAAGAACATATTATCCATATATATGACATGAAAGATGAGCAATATTAATTAATTAATGCACAGGACCAGCTAGTAGGCATCACTGTTAATGGAATAAAACTGGTATGATGACCTGGCTAATTTGAGAATTGCCAAGTAGCTTTTTTTTTTTTAATCAACTGGGAATGAGGTGGTTGTATATATGAACAAAAAATGATCCTATTGCAATAAATCGCCGATAAATAGGTTCATTTTACCGCCGACAATTTGGGTGTGGCATAGGAGAAGTTATAATTCCTTTCCACGTTTCTATAACATGACAAAATATTTAAGACCTCTTGACTTTTTCCGTTTATTGTCTGCTAAATTTATTGCATATACATCAGGAAATTTACGTATGTATTTAATTTGGAAGTATTTTTTAAATTTTTTTTATTTAAAAGATAATAAATTAATTTTAATATTTTCTTAATTATTTTAGAACTGTAAGAATATATATATATATATATATATAACAAAATAAAACATAATGAATTTGATGTTTTATCAGTACTAACATTCTTCAGAAAGCATTTTAAATTAAAACATCTTAAAAACATTATCATACCATATCTTATTAGTTAATTCTCGAGGTTTGCGGTCGAATGTGTAAGATTCAATCTAAAGAGGGATGGCCATCACACTTGTAATTAATATTTTGAAAAAAAAAAAAATGTGTAATATTCAATCTAAAGAGGGATGGCCATCATACTTGTAATTAATATTTTGAAAAAAAAAAAAAACACTTGATCATCCGGGCTATTTGCTCGTCAGCACTTGGCATTGAAGAACATTCAAAGCAGAGACTTAACATTTTGGGTCCCCAGCCTTCTTTTTGTTCACAAATTAGCAAATATACTAACTTCTGATCAGGAGTCTATTCGAATTACAAAGTTGGGGTGATTAATTTCCTCAAGTTCCTGTTCGGACTTACAAAAATGATCAGGTCGAGAGTAATTTCCTCAAGTTCCTGCTCGGACTTACAAAAATGATCAGGTCGAGAGACTTCTCAAAAGGTTCCAAAATGTTGATTAGCGCTTCATAATGTGCTTACTTTAAGCAAGAGTGAGCTCAAGAGAAACACCTGAACTATTCTTTGCTTTGCTAAGCTTCAAAAGGGGCTTGGAAACATTTAAGTTTAGGGATAAAGACGTTCTGTCACCATCTATTCTCTGTGCAATCTCAGTAAGTTCCTCTAAACTCTGATGGCTTTTCTTGCAACCTGTGGCTCCTGCTGACATCTTATCTTGGTCATTCGTCTCCTGAAATATCAAATATCATAAACTGCACGTATTCAGTACTATGAAATTAATTTCAATATCTATATTGAATTTCTTAGGAGAGGGCTTGTAACATATCACAAACTATTAATAAATACTTGACAAGGAGTTGGGAGATTACTTTGCTAACGCAGCTCTCGAGTAGATCATTGAAGATAATGTAAGTATCAGGTTTCTGCTCGCTCTCCTCGCTTGCTATTTCTTCATGTAAGAATGGTTCTTTCACTCTCTTTCCAATCCACTGCCCTTTCTTCTGTCTCCTGCAAATATACCCCAAATAGTACTCATATATATATATATATATATATATATATATATATATATATATATATTTGATTCTCAATAAGCATGACCAAAAGGAAAAAAATCATTACAAAACAACATGATAGCAGATAAAAAGATGTAATGAGTGGAAAAGCAAGAGAATAACACATCTCATGAGTGAGAGTTTTGACTACTACTAATAATGATATTCTTTTTTCTTAATTAGTTGTGATGGTCACTATTTTGGACTTTAATTGCTCAACATAATCAGCTTTTTGTTTCCTATTTCGTCCCATTTTAGATTTTGTGAATTTAATTAATCCTTAATTATTTAAAATTAAATTTATTATATTTAACTTGTAGGTCAATCCAACCAAAAATATTATTCATAAATTTAATAAATTAACTTATATATCAATGAATAAATTCAAGATATGAATTTTTTTTTTTTAAATCTAAAACAACATTTTTACTATCTAAAATAGATAGAGTTTTTTTTCGAACCAAATGTTAGGAAATTGTTATTTTATAGCAATATCTCATGCTATGCTTAATGGAATATTTAGTGTCACTATTTGTGCTCTATCTCATAGCTTTTGTCCCTTTATTTATATTATAATTTATGGCTTTTTATCTATTATTAAATTATCTACATATAAAAGTATTATTTGAGAGTAAAATGAGATAAAAAAAAGTAAAAAAAAGAGAAGAGTTGCAATGACAGCAGCCTTATTGCTATTACAAGCAACAATAAAAAATAGAAATTGAGTTTGAGTAGATATAATCCTTTGAATTATCTACATATAGAAGTATTATTTGAGAGTAAAATAAGAAAAAAAAAGTGAAAAAAAGAGAAGAGCTGCAATGACAGCAGCCTTGTTGCTATTGCAAGCAGCAATAAGAAATGGAAATTGAGTTTGAGTAGATATAATCCTTTTCTTTTATATATTTGTATTATATCATTTATATATTTCTAATAATATGAAACTCTCCCGTTAATATAAATAATTTATCAAACCACATTAAATATTATATTAATATGTTTAATTTTCAATAAATAACTATCAAAATATTACAATTCCAACATACTGGTCACTAAGTTGACCAGCCAGCACAAGGTGATTTTTATAACAATGTTCAGAGTTCCTAGAGTGACATAAGCTTGCTTGCATCCTCTAAAACTGAAGGCAGTTTGTTTATTCAATGGTTTACGCAATTTCCAGTTCAAATTTCCTATTTGTAAATCCATCCCTTATCGAAATAATTCCTTTCTTTTTTCATGAATAACTAATGGCACTGGCAAGCTAGCACTAATTTATATCCTAATATCTTTTTTTTTTACTCCCACTATTCCTATTCTCATTGCTAATACTATTATTTCATTATTATCTAAAAAAATATTATTATTTCATACTTCAAATTAATCTAATTTTTGTGTTCATGATTCTCGGATCCCTGACTGTAAATAAATGTACTACCATTATTAATTGGTATAATTATTAGAACTACGTTGTGGAGAAAAAGATTGAAATTGACGAACCTTTGAGATGTCAAGCTAGCATTTTTTAGGGCAAGCCCATCAGCAGGATTATGAACTCCACAACCTTGATAGAGAAGTGCCTTATTATCGATCAGTCGCTTGCCATTTAAACGATTCTGCTGGCAGCACATTGTATGTGAGAGATAATTTGAATGATGCATCCTAGGCTCCTTGCCATTCTTCTTTGCTTCCATAGCAGCTTCTGCACCAAGAAAATCATGTTGCGAAAATTTATTTAAATTATGATTGATGTATGTATTTAAAGTCAAATTAAAAGTAAAATCCACTGAAGTTAAAACTTTCGTTAAGATTTATTTTTTAATAAACGCTCTTTATCATGGAATAATAGCATAATTTAAATAAATTAAGGGTAAATAAAAATCTGATCTAATTTTTTTTAATTGATGTATTTTGAGAAACCTAAAAGCTCTTTAAGACTCTATCCCATGTGTGTGTGTGTGTGTAGTTTTTCTAGCTGTTTATAGAGTAGAAATGTGAAAAAGATAAAATTTAAACCCAAAAAAAAAAATCAATGTTTTAAAAAATAAATGACTGAAATAAAATAGGCTTTGGACCTTACAACTAGTTCTTGGGATTTATGTTGGATTTGAATTTGAATTTATTATAAAATATTTTAAGTTACAAAAAATTATTTTTTATTAATTTATTTTGGATTTAGGTTTGAATTTATAATTTTTTAACCCACAAAAAAATATTTTTATCAACCTATTATTTTGTTCAGCCCATGAATACAAGAATTTAATCACATTCTTTCAAAATAATTGCTTCAAACTTGAACAGTTTTTTCAGTTAAAAATCATTATAGACAAATCTACAATTATTAGGCTTAATTATGATTTTATTAAAATTGATAATAAAAAAATTATTCTATTAATTATCAAAATTAATTATATATCAAGTTTAGTTCCGAAATCCTCTATAAAAAGTAGCTAATGAAGAGTGCTTTTGGTCTAATTATGTCTATCACTTCCTGTTGCAGCTTTAATGTTGTTCTCCTTTTAGATGATAACATTCTGACATATATAAAGTACATATAATTATTCTCGGAGCTAGGAAAAATAATTAAGATAATTCATTAGCTTACATGGTGATCATTGCTTGGTTACCTTCACATGAACTCATTAAATACCATTGATAAACACTGCCATTTCTTTTGACTATTTCTCCTCTACAAAGATAAATAAACATAACTATGATCCATTAATAGTTAATAAATTTATTATGTACCTTGGATCATCCGCTCATGCTTCATGCTCCTGTACATCTGGCCACAAACAGACCGAAGCTTTTACTAAAAGCTCTTAATTAAGAGTTATAACAAAGTTTTTCAAAAAAAAAAAAAAAAACTCAAAGCAAATTCGATCATAACCAACCTGAAGGTGGCTCTTTACGTGAGATATGGTAAGGTCCTCCACATCCATGATTTGCAGAACCATCTTTGGAGTTGCCCCTATGATGATTAATATTATACAAAACCCCGTAATAAAAAAAAAAAACATGTAAAAACCAAAGATCATATTTATAAACATGATAATTAAAAAAATATATATAATTAAAAAAATAAAGTGAAGGGCTTGTATATATAAAATCTAAGAGATAACTTACGATCCTCCCCACCAAGCCTGTCAACTGCATGCACAAAGCAGTGATGAAGATCAGGTGTCCAACGAAGCCTAGGCATTTTTGATCGAACGTAAGGCCTAACTATGGCTGATGGTCTCAAGCCTATTTCTTGAAAATTAACTCCAACTGATCGTCTCTCAGTGTTTCTCATGATCAGTGCCCGTGTCAAGAGAAGATGATGGAGAGCCTTTATTTGGAGAGCTCTCAACTTCAATTCTCTTCATTGTCTCTGGGATTCATCAAAAAGAAAGATAGAGAAAAGTGGCTTGGTCTATGCAATACAAAAGAGAATAAATACGAGGGAGACTATTTGCATAATTTTGTCACTATGTGCAGCTTTTTTCTTACAAGGCCATTTTAGTCATCCTGGGGTTTCGATTACAGAAAAGAAAAACTGGGCAAAGAATTTCAGAGACTTGGGTTAATAATTTTGTTCAAGGAATGCCTCTATGATCATAGGGTAAAAAAAAAAAGTTGAGAAAACACTTGTATCCAAAATGTAATTAATTGAAAATCTTGACCTTTTTACTGCCTCCCTTTCTCCTCTATTCTCTCCCACTCTGATTGCTGGTTGTACAGTTGCAAATCAATATATTCTTGATGAGATCATTTCTTAATATTCGTTCAAATAAAACAAAAGGTAACCCTCTCAAAATAGCAAACTAAACATGCAAGCAACCATTCCCAGAGCAAATTCCCACGCCCAATACCTTAAACCAAACGTTACAGCAAGAAATTTCACAACAAAACAAAGCTAAAAAACCCAGACGTTTGGAAGTGAAAAAACATGGGCACATGACCTAAGCCATGCATGAACTCAAGGAAACATACCAAGAATTAAACACCAACACGTCCACACCTTTTTGTGTGTATATGTTGGCTTTCTTCTTCTTCTTTTTCAATGTTTGCTTTTTGTTTTTATAACTTTTTTTTTGTTGTTTTTCTTCCGTTTTTGGCTTGGTTAGCCTTTTCAATGTGTCGACTTCTTCTTTTAAAAAAAAAAAAAACACGTCCACACCTTAAATCTAATTTAACATACCCTCTGGTAGCTTCAATTAAAGCTATAAAATATAATTCATCTAGTTTTTATATTATCTCCATCGCTTTTATTTTATTCCTTGGAATGTCTCTAAAAGAAAATGGGTAGATAAGTATCTTGTGAAAATTAATTTTAATATTAATTATTATTTAAAATTTAATTCTTAATACTATAAAAATTTTAAAAATAAAATTTTATTAAAATTTTTAAATTAAATTTAATTTATAGAGTTCTGAATAGTAGCTTGATAGGGTTTTAAACTTCAGGATTGATAGTGGGATTTTTTTTTCTCTCTCGAGGTTGAGAGAGCACATGATGGGAAGCATAAATTAATGGGTTTTGTTTTTGTTTTTCATTGTTACATAAATGGTGAAACAAATTATGAATGTTGGGATGTGACTAAGCTGACAAGAGGTTGGATAATTCAGAAGACGGTTTCAAATTGGGAAATATTCTTTGGATGGATTTGTCACAAGCATGGACAAGTGTTTAATTTATGATATCGTAACCATAATTAATGATAAAATGGAAAAAGATATTGGAGAGAATTCTTGTCTAGATTTTGTGCCAATCCTTTCAGTTTCATCTTTTCAAAGGAAATAACACTTTGGTGGGGTTCTTGCAATATTAAAAAAAGAAAAAGAAAAAGAAAAAAACTAATTTAGTAATAATTGATGAGATACAATAAATAATTTTATTAATTTTATTCTTGTAAAATTGAGTCCTATTTAATCTTTTTTTTTGTGTGGAAGAAACTAATATATTAAAGGGGCAATCCAAAAGTAGTTAAAAACAAGAATATTTAATCCCCTACTAAACATGATCAGCATTCCTATTGTCAAATTGTTACACGAACTTATTATTATGAATTATATATTGTTTAAATGGAAGAGGAATTGTGCTGAGCATAGGTTTTTATTGACCTAGCTAGTCATAGAGCCATTATTCATGAGAGATGGGGAAAGAGCAATGCTAATTTGAAAAAATATTAAAAAAGTTCCCTTTCCTTTTCACAAAGGAGTCAAAGGAATATATTGTTTGTCATAGATCCCATCCCTTGATAGTGATGATATATAGAGAAAACAATGCTCTGCTAAATTCTAAGTCCTTGGCCATCATGTCGAGGTTATCTCTTTTTGGATTCCATGTTTTATTGAATGTTAATGATTGTGACAATTAATTATTATAAATAGGCGGAATATGACAAATAATCAAAGCTTCTTTTCAAAAAGCCCTTTATCAACACCATCATTATCAAAGCTGCTGAACAAATGTTCATGTTTCAAGGAGTAGCAGCCATCAAAAGAAAGAAAGACGATGGTAGACTAGGGTGGTGTTTAGCTTTTAGGTATAACCATATTTTTTAAAATATTTTTTAGTTTTAAGTTTTTTTTAATTGTTTTGTTATGTTGATTTTAAAATAATTTTTTAAAAAATTATTATGACAAATTATTCAAATAAATTTTTTTAAAAAAAACAACTTTTATTGTATTTATAAATAAATTATAATTGTACATCTAGTATCCAAAAATCCTATCATAAAATATGATATTTGTTTGGCTTACAAGTGTGAATTTTTTTTTATAAAAGTATAATCCTTTTAAAACATAAATTATATCTCATTCATATATATATATATATATATATATTCTTTTTGTGATGCTCTCATATTCGAGCTTTGAAGTTACTAATATTGATGGTTAATATAAATTTATTTGGTCGTTAATTTCAGAATTTATAGAAATTAATTGAGGTATATATAAATTGATCGAGAACACCCAGCTTGAATTAAACAAAAATACATATATTTTATATAAATTCTAAAAAAAAACACCCAACCACATCTCCAATCCAAGGTTGTCAATTTCGTTTCGGTAAGTGTTTGATTTTTTCAATTGGAATGGAATGTTTTAGTTTTGGAGTATTTCGGCGTGCCGTTTCGGGGTTATACTGTTCATATATATATATTCAACAAACATAATTCAAATTCAAGATAAATCAATTATAAATTATGCAATACAAACACAATACCAAACAAATATAATTTTGAATTTTAAAATATTTTTAAATAGTCAAGATTAAATAGATCTTTAATTTAAAGTAATTTAACTTAAACAAAATATCAAAATATTATGAAATTAAAATATTTTAACACAAATATTTTAAATATAAAGTTAGGTCAATGTTATCAAGGCTAATAGAATCTAAAGCATCTCTTGTTTTGCTCAAATTCCTACAAAGTATAAACATGAAAAAAAACAACATGAATATAAACCATATATATTAATGATAAATCTAATTTTAAAAAATTAATATTATTGTTAATGAAAATAGTAATAATAATTTTAAATATTATTATTAATATCATTGTTATTAAAAATAGTAATGAAAAATAGCTTTTTATAATTGAGTGATTTAATTAATTAAATTGAACAAGGTTTAATTTAATTCAATGGTTTTTTAAGAGCGGAATGGAACACGTGGAATGAAACTGAAACGTTCTGGACAGAATTTAGCTGAAAAATCTAGAACAAACCGAGATTAAAATAAGATAAAATTTATTTTATTTTATTTTATTTTTTAAATTAATATAAAATATTTCAGTTATTCCACGCACAACAAAATAAAAATGACAACTTCTCCGAACCAAACACCCTGAGAATATATTAGATTACTTCCCTCATGCTCCTGGATGGGTTATATCTGTTGCCCAGGTTCGGTTCCTAGGTTTTTCAACTTTTTTGATTGGCTTGTGACTTGCACCTATGGTCTAGATGGGCTGTTTTCTACAACTGGATTGGTTGTGATCCTCTATTAGGCTTCGCATCCTGTGGTGCTTTACTCACTGAATTTTTCAAAACTTAATTAAGAAAGTAATCTAAAAATAACTTGAAAGTTTTAAAACAATATATTTTATATCTAATTTGGACATGAATCTATCTCAGCTAGAACTAAGGAACCAAGTTTATAGAGAAACATGGCTTATAGAACACTTTGATTGAATATTTCACTTTTTAATCTAATAATGATCCGATAAAAAAATATGATTTTTTTTTGTTAGATTTCTTGTTCAACTCATACAATTTTTTTCTTAAATTTAAACTTATCTATACACATCTCATGTCGAGAGTAAATTTGACGGTTTACTTTTTATGATTCATTTCTCGAGTTGACACAAACACAAATAGAGGGTTAAATTGCGGCATTTTCCGCGCAAAAGAAAAAATAACAAATCTCAATTTGACAACAATGAGGATGGCATCGGATGAGGCTGATAACCTTTGCTTCCTTGTCAATGCTGGCATGCCGCGTCGGGCATGTCTTTAGATGTAACAAACTGTGTGGCAGTAGCCAGCAGGCAGCCTATCCTCTCTTCAATCGGTCCCTGCAACAAGCAAGAAACAACTGCATGGCGTTCCTATCTAATATTACAATGTATCTTGAAGTCAAGCAACAGCATACAGCTAATATTGCAATTCAAGGTAAAGAACAATCAACTTGCTGATAATAACAAGGGTAGCCTTAGTTTGCATAGTTCAAGACATAGACAATCTAACAAGACATAGAGGAACCTAAACATTGATTTTATTGTGAAATACACTAATTATCATAGTAAATAACGAATCTAATACTTTAATTAATCATCAAAGCTAGGTTTATTATCAGTCTAACTCGTATGAAGCAAGGATCGTCACAAATAGAAAGTAGAAGGTTAATGGGAAAGGGGAACGTGAGGTTGATCAACCAAGGTCCATACGTAAGTATACCGTTACATAAATCTTAACTCACCTTCATCTTTCTCTGATGGTGCTAATTGTATTGGTGTTTAATTTGGTGCAGGTCATGCTAGACAATGATTTGGTGAGGCTCACAATATTGAAACCTCAAGGGTATTTAACAGGAATTAAGTATGGAGGAATGGATAACATTCTTGATCTTCATTCAAGTGAATCTAATAGAGGGTAGCCTTCAAAAAATTTCCCATTATTATTCACACTTCAATTCATTTTTTAATAGTCTTGCACAGGTGAAGAACATGAAATAGGTGCTACTAGTCCTCGTTTCAGTAATCTTGAACATAACTTTATAAGTTAACTAACATTGTCACTATTTGATTTGCAGATATTGGGACTTGAACTGGAACTTGCCAGGAGGAAAGGATAGATATCAATCGTATGACCATCACTTGGA